CGGGGCCGGATCCCGGCGTGGGCCATGAAGGTGCTGAGGGCGAAGGCCATGGGGGAGCTGCGGGAGAGAATTCCAGAGGCTGGGAATGGCAGGAATTCCCGGGATTCCCGAAATTCCAGGGGTTCCTGGGATCCCCAGATCTGCTGGGAAAAATGGGAATTCCGGGGAAAGGGAAAATCCACTGGGAAAATCGGGAATGGCAGGGAAAGGGAAAATCCCCTGGGAAAACTGGGAATGGCAGGGAAAGGATCAACTGGGAAAATTGGGAATTCCAGGGAAAGGATTCCCAGGGAAAATTGGGAATTCCGGGGAAAGGGAAAATCCCCAGGGAAAATCGGGAATTCTGGGGAAAGGATCCCCAGGGAAAATTGGGAATTCTGGGGAAAGGATCCACAGGGAAAATTGGGAATGGCAGGAAAGGATCCACTGGGAAAATTGGGAATTCCAGGGAAAGGATCCACAGGGAAAATCGGGAATTCTGGGGAAAGGATTCCCAGGGAAAATTGGGAATTCCAGGGAAAGGATCCACTGGGAAAATTGGGAATTCCGGGGAAAAGGATCCACTGGGAAAATTGGGAATTCTGGGGAAAGGATCCACTGGGAAAATTTGGAATGGCAGGAAAGGACCCACAGGGAAAATTGGGAATTCCAGGGAAAGGATCCACAGGGAAAATTGGGAATTCTGGGGAAAGGATCCACTGGGAAAATTGGGAATTCTGGGGAAAGGATTCCCTGGGAAAATTGGGAATTCCAGGGAAAGGATCCACTGGGAAAATTGGGAATTCTGGGGAAAGGATCCACTGGGAAAATTGGGAATTCCAGGGAAAGGACCCACAGGGAAAATTGGGAATTCCGGGGAAAGGATCCACTGGGAAAATTGGGAATTCCAGGGAAAGGATCCACTGGGAAAATTGGGAATTCTGGGGAAAGGATCCTCAGGGAAAATCGGGAATTCCAGGGAAAGGATTCCCAGGGAAAATTGGGAATTCTGGGGAAAGGATTCCCAGGGAAAATTGGGAATTCCAGGGAAAGGATCCCCTGGGAAAATTGGGAATTCCGGGGAAAGGATCCACAGGGAAAATTGGGAATTCCAGGGAAAAGAGGGACGGGAAAAAGGGGGAAAAGATTCCGCAGGGAAAACTGGGAATTTTTCCCAAATTCCCGGATTTTTTCCCCGCCGGTTCCGCTCACCTCCGCTCCTCCTCGTACTTGGAGCTGTGGGAAAAAGGAATTGCTTGGAATCTTCCACTCCCAATCCCAAAATCCCAATCCGAAATTCCCGTTCCCAATCCCAAATTCCCAGTACCAATCCCAAATTCCCAGTACCAAATTCCCGTTCCCAGTCCCATTCCCAATTCCAAAATTTCCATTCCCAATCCCAAATTCCCATTCCCAATCCCAAATTTCCCTTTCCCAACCCCGAAATTCCCACTGCAGCCCTGAATCCCATCAGGAATTCCCGAATTACCCCAGGATGTCCCCGAGGTGCCCCAGCTGCCTCTGTCCCAACGATCCCATAAGGAATTCCCAATGATCCCAAATTCCCAGTGATCCCAAACTCTCACAGGATGTCCCCATAGGGGATTCCCAATGATCCCAATGATCAATCCCAATGATCAATCCCAAATTCCCAATGATCCCATGAGGAATTCCCAGTGATCCCAAACCCTCACAGGATGTCCCCAAGGTGCCCCAGCTGCCTCTCCCTGTCCCAGTGATCCCAATGATCCCATAGCAGTTCCCAATGATCCCATATTGAATTCCCAATGATCCCAATGATCCCATAGGGAATTCCCAATCCCAATGATCCCAACGATCCCATTCACTCACAGGATGCCCCAGCTGTCTCTCCCTGTCCCAGTGATCCCATAGCAGTTCCCAATGATCCCAAGGATCCCATAGGGAATTCCCAATGATCCCAATGATCAATCCAAATGATCCCATAGATCAATCCCAGTGATCCCAATGATCAATCCCAATGATCAATCCCAAATTCCCAACAATCCCAAACTCTCACAGGATGTCCCCCAGGTGTCCCAGCTGCCTCTCCGCCAGCTGCCGCTCCTGTTCCCGGCATTCCCGCGGTTCCCATAATGAATTCCCAATGATCCCAATGATCCCAATGATCAATCCCAATGATCCCATATTGAATTCCCAAATTCCCTCACAGGATGTCCCCCAGGTGTCCCAGCTGTCTCTCCGCCAGCTGTCTCTCCCGTTCCCGGCATTCCCGTGGTTCCCATAATGAATTCCCAATGATCCCATAACAGTTCCCAATGATCCCAATGGTCATTCCCAGCCCTCACAGGATGTCCCCCAGGTGTCCCAGCTGTCTCTCCCTGTCCCAATGATCCCAATGATCAATCCCATAAGGAATTCCCAATGATCCCATATTGAATTCCCAAATTCCCTCACAGGATGTCCCCCAGGTGTCCCAGCTGTCTCTGTCCCACTGATCCCATAGCAGTTCCCAATGATCCCAATGATCAATCCTAGTGATCCCATATTGAATTCCCACATTCCCATCACTCACAGGATGTCCCCCAGGTGTCCCAGCTGTCTCTCCGCCAGCTGCCGCTCCCGTTCCCGGCATTCCCGCGGTTCCCATAATGAATTCCCAGTGATCCCAATGATCAATCCCAATGATCAATCCCAAATTCCCAAATCCCCATTCCCTCACAGGATGTCCCCCAGGTGTCCCAGCTGTCTCTCCGCCAGCTGTCTCTCCCGTTCCCGGCATTCCCGCGGTTCCCATTATGAATTCCCAATGATCCCAATGATCCCAATGATCAATCCCAATGATCCCAATGATCAATCCCAAATTCCCAATGATCCCATTCCCTCACAGGATGTCCCCCAGGTGTCCCAGCTGTCTCTCCGCCAGCTGCCTCTCCCGTTCCCGGCATTCCCGCGGCTCCCATTATGAATTCTCAGTGATCCCAATGATCATTCCCAATGATCCCATATTGAATTCCCAAATTCCCAGCACTCACAGGATGTCCCCCAGGTGTCCCAGCTGTCTCTCCCG